GATGGTAAGTCGTCTTGGTCCACGAAAAATGACGTAATACACTCGAGGTTACAGTTCGCCGGTTATCGTAAGACGGTGGTTGCTATTTTCTCCGCGACGAAACGAACGCGGCCGAAGCCTGAGGCGACGCGAAAACCACACGGCCTGAGGCAAAAGCGATGCGAGACGAGCGCAGGCCGCCTTGCTACCAAGCGCAAGATGTTGGACTTTCCCGCCAGTGGAAGCCATTGCCGTCTGCCTGGTCCGAGCCATGTCGCACAGAGAGTACCGCCCGAAGGACCACAGACCTCTCGTGCGTGGCTCGGAACGCGGCGCGTTTCAAAGAAGTCCCGGAACGGGAACAGCAAGAAACAGAGGCTCAGGCGACCCGGAGACCACGTGGCCTGAGGGTCAGACGGCGTTGGATGATTAGCGGCCGGAGGCCCTGGAGACGCGGAGACCACGCGACCCGAGGCTACGGTGACGCTGAACGTGAAATCCACAAGTTCCGGAGACCACACCGCCCGAAGTTGAGGTTGAAGTGCCGGAGGCGGCGCGAGAAAGAAGCGATGCGAGCGTATTGGGTGCAAGACGGCGGTGGAGCGGATGAAGTGACTGTAGAGGGAGATTTTATACTGTAGTCCGAGATTTTATTTGAATTTTAGAGAAGCGCACGCGTACAGCCCGGCGGAATCCGGGCCGGACGCGTGGACGCTTTTGGAAGGAATTTCGTAGAAATAAACGTGAGAGGGTGACGGGCGCTGCAGGGAAAAAGCGGGAGAGAAGACAACTCGGCCGACCCTAACCACGGAATGGCAGGCTCCCTAAACCGTTTCCCCCATTTCATCAACAACAGTTATCAATATCAATTCAGGGATTATGTAGGCTACATTTAGCTATCAACGATAGAGTCCCTTAAGGACGTGCCACCTTCAATTCTACGTGCCACCTACAATTCTACCTGTTTTAGGGTGTAACCATTTAGACAAATTTCGTGGGTGGCGCAACCTCCCTTTTATGGTAGTGCACCTACTTTTGTTGTGGAGTCAATAGGACTATAAAGCCAGGTCGAAGACGCTACTCGTCTTCGACCTCAGCACATTCGATCATCTCAACCATCAACTCGACAACTTCGTCCATTGACCGTGCTCACCCTCTGTAGCGGTTCTGAGGCAATAGCCTGCCGCTTTCCCCCTCCCTTTAAGGTAACCCTATTTACCACCCTTTTACCCTTCACTGAAATCCCCTCCGGACCGCCCCCTTTCGGTCGGTCTCCCGACATCAAGCACTGACGAGGGCTTCATGACCGCATTCGGGATAGTGATTTCTTATATGTGTGCACGTCTCCTTCCGTGATACATTGATGCTGGGGAAACGCCAAGAGGCTTCTGATTGGGAGTTGTACTTGAAAAGCGCCATGCGGTAGATCTTTTGCTTCTGTGAAGCGGTCTTGGTCGGGCCGTCATCTTTCTTCAAGATGGGCATTCACCCTCTTGATGTGGAAGGTTTTGCTGCGTCTATGTGGAGCTACAAAACCGCCCTACCGGACTGTAATTACAATGCTAGCTAGGGTTCAACTTGTTCTTCGGTGGTTGGGGGTAGGCTGGACATCATAATTGAGTGGAAAGTGCGACAGGTTTGGGTTGTGCGTGAGTGTGGGTGAAATGCGTGAATAAGTAATAATACTGTTGAGTCTTTCGGGAAGGCGCATGTATGCTCTGCTGGAATTGCTACCCAACTGTAATGCAGCACTTCAATTACACTAAGCAGTGGTTGCTAGTAGCAACTTGCTCCAGAGGAATGATGGGGAAGACGGCGGTGCTCTCCGTGATGTGAATGCAGGGAGAGTTTGTACGAAATCTAGAAAACAACTGAAAGTTGTTGCTGTTTGGACAGCCCCGCAGGACCTGACAACGGGGGTGCGTCGCGGCACGGAGACGACACGTGTTGTTTTTGACTCGTTTTTAGTAAAACCCGTCGCGGCTCACGACGCTGCTTGATCCAAGTGATTAGGAGCTACTGTTTTGTAGTGTACAGTACTTACAAAAAAATGGTACAGTTCGAAAGCTATTTTGATTCTCCCTCTTTGGTTTCCCGCAGGTTTATACAATAGAGGTCTGCACTGCGTGGGAGAGCGGGAGCTGTTTCGGATTGAACGAAAAGAGTCCACCGCAGTATCTCGAAGATAGACTTTGGCAGTCTACGAGACTGCCAACTTATATCGCCAGACAGGTTGCGGTGGCAAGGATTGTCCTCCCTCTCGCCTGATGTGGTGTGAGTCTGCTGTAAAATGGAAGGAATGTGTCGTGCTGGTATACGTCCAATACCGTAGTGCCTTGTGCGTGGCCCCTGACGCAAAAGCGTGTTGGTGGGGGGTAGTGTAGACGACCAGAGCCCCGGTTCGATTTCGTGGCGAGTTTCTCTAATTATATTTTCTAGGAGACACTTGTGAATCTTCAGGAAATTGGACCACTGAAAACGGGCCAGTAGATAAATGTTACAGTAGACCCTGCATTCGCAACAATAGTCATTGAATAAAGCATTTTTAGACGTACAGTGCATCCAGGAAATAAAATTCCGCCACGGTATCGAAAAGGCCAAGGTGTGGAGTTTCGACGAGCTGGATTTAAAATATATCTGCTACACGTAACATTAAATTCCATCCACTAATTTTGCGGCAACGGTTGCGGTTGGGCGCCAACTTCGGGTTGAGATGCGGCGATCTACAGTCGGGTATCGTCCGTTATTCTTTTTAGAGTGCAGTACCCTTGGTACTGGACCACTGTATGCAAGTGCTACAAAGGACAAAGTGTTGAAAAGCTTATTTTTGCCGGAAAGGCTATACTGTACCCTTGGGTACTGTGCACTTGCATGTACGGTAACTCTCAGCGGTACATCTTTGCGCTTATTTATCATCAACTTGAAAGAAATATCTAACTAAATCTTGTACTGTATATGGGGCCATCACAACACTACCGCAAATACCTCATCAGGGTGAATCTACCCCTACTGTAGAAGCTTCCTTACCACGTGTTGAAGACGAGCAGAAGCTGTCGGACCAGCCCCAAAAAAACACGACTAACACAACGTGCTGGGGCAACGAACAAGCAGAGTGCCTTGTCTTTTTATGGGCGGTACACAAGCGAAGGGGCGGTCTGCCGTCGGATACGCCATGCGAAGGGGCGTCATGCGAGGCGTCATGCATGGCAACAATCACGCCGACTCCCGTGTTGGGCGGTCAACGTCACATGACACCCTCCGGGCTTTCTCTTGCTGCAGGCATTGCTTTTCCACACAAAACAGTCGTACGCATGAGCCCTCTGGGCTCATGCGTCTTAAATATGGGCACATTTGGTTGCCGTGTACTGCCCGGAGAGCTGCTGTCTGGAAGATGAAAATTTCTGGTCCCCGATTGCGCAGTGCGCTTCATGTGGCTCGGAGCGAGCATGTGCCGCAGCAAAGTCATTAGTCCCAAATTTCCTTGTGTGTACCCTTCAGAAGGGTAGGCGCACTTCGATCTCTCTTTCTTTTTCTCATTTAAACTGAGATACTGTGCTACTCTTCACGTTTGTTTATTCACTGAACGGTGGTGCGTGAGGCACGTCTAGTCGATAAAAAAGCATCTGCAGTACCAAGTCAGATTTTTAATATAAAGTTACGAGGGTGGGAGGGAAAGGAGGATGCCACGACATGACGGGACTGAATGTTAGAAATAAAAAGGGGAAAAAAAAAAGTGTAGATTTTG